ACATCGAGTCATTGACCACAACTCTCTGAGTGCAACCATCTAGCCAATTCCTTATCCACCGAGTGGTCCACCTGTCAAATCCATGTCTCTACAATTTAGAGACAAGGATGTCATGCAGGACAGTGTGTGTTCTTTAAATTAATATCAGTGCCTTGCAAATTCAAGTAAGACATGGATTAAGATTTTTTTTTTAAGTAAGGAAGTGTTTATTTTTGTCTACTACAAAGCAAAATACCAGGCCTGTTCTAAGACTTATTTAGAGCACCTAGTAGTATTAAGATAGCAGGTTCCATAACAATATTCTCCTCTCTGCACCATACTAACATCTGTGTGCCTACTAATCCAGACTTTGAGGTTTTGCTCTACTTCATCAAAAAACATTACTCCATAGTAATAAAACGCTATTATATCTGGTATTTCAGTAACCAACTTCTAGCATACAGACATTATTATATCAACTGTCCCTTACTGATGCAAAAAATAGGCTTTCAAATACCAACAGCAAGATTTAACCATGTTTTCTGTCCAAGCTTTTCTTCAAAAGACCATTATTATGCAGATATAATGGCAAGTCTATACATGCAAGTGGTTGCTAAAGAGCATTAAAAAGGAGAATTGGAACATTTTAAGCCCCTTCGTATCAGTGCCAGCAGCTGAACAAACCAGAATCCTGACACCCCCGGAGGCTTCCTCACAGCATACTTCCATAGAGCTACCCTGCCTCGCTTAATAATCTTCCCTAGCAGGTAACATTCATTCTGAACAATTATTGCCCATTATTTCTTTGTCAGAGGCAATACAACCTCTGAATACTGCAAGGGTCAATCCTCTCACTGAGCATTTGGTATTAGCCAAACATGATTTCTTCTTTTTCTTTTTTTGGGGGGTAGTTTCTGATGCAGTCAAAGGAAGAAGAAAAAAAAAAAAAAAAAAAAAAAAGCAAGCCAAGTGTTGCTTACTTCTAAAATTAGAAATAGAATAAAAATTGATTGAAAACTTTGTCTTCACAGGATTACTGCCTGGTTCTACAGATGAGATCTGTCAACATATTTTGCAGGCATTTTAATTAAAAGCCAAAAGATTTTTCCAGAAGGTTTCTTCCAAGTAATCTTTGGTCCCTCTCAAATCTGTGAGATTTAGAAGTCCATCTTTTAGTCTTCCCATATCAAGTACTTCGAAGCCTAATTTTGAAAGTCTCACAACTATGAGCATTTTTTCAGCTACATAAAACTTCTGCAAATTTTATTAAAAACAAACATGAAAACCCCAAACTCTTATGCATTCCAAACACCTTCATCTCAAAAAAGGTTTACCTGTTTCCCTTATTTTCAAAAGACTGTCTTGATAAAGAAAACACACAAAACCTTTCAAACAGATTTTTTTTTAGCAACCTACAATGGAAATTAATTTTGTCTGCTGATATATATCATAAGGGAGTAGTAATACCACACAGAATGTTAGTATTATATTAACTTGAAAAACAGAGAGGCTGTCTCGAACCACAGCAACAAGATGTTATGCTGCACCTAAAGAACATATTTAATACTCTCATTTATGGGTGGTCCAAGAATTTACACTAAATCTAAGTCAGAGAAAGAAAAGGCTGAAGTGTGAAGAAGCTATTTTTTTTCTTCAATAAACAGTTCCTAAAATAGCCTGGCCAAGTCCAATAGACAAGAGCCATTCTCTGCTATTCTCCACAAGAGCAGACAACTGAAAATACTAGAAATTTTAAATATATTCACAGACACTCCCCTCCTCATATCTCCCACAGAATTCAAAGGTGATAAAGATAAAAATGTGCTAGATTATTTACTTCTGATATCTTTTTGGCAACACACTGTAATAGTCACCCTTCCATAAAACCAAATTTTTCCAATGTGCTGAAAAACTTGGCCCAACAAACATGGAACTTTAAGTTCTATACAAAACATCAACTATGAAGACTTCATAGTAATACTACATAGTAATACTTTGTCAATCTTGGGGACAAAATTATATATCTGAGATTAAACACATAAAATAGACACAGGTTGGGTTTCTTCATTCTTTTCAACTAAGAAGAAAGGTCAGGGATTGTAAATGGTTGACATGGGAGGCTTTCAAGACCAGTCTGGATAAGCCCCCAGCAGCCATATATGACCTAATAGCTGACACTGCTTTGAGTAGGAGGGTTGGTCTAGAGATCTTCTGAGGCTCTTTCCAACCTGAATCATCCTATGAAAAAATGCAAAGACACACTCAAAATTCAGCACAAATCCTTCTGAAGCACTAACTATACCTGCAAGGAATACAAAGGTCCAAAGTTGGCAAGACAGATACAGTGATTTCAACCTCTGTAGGTGACAATATCTCAGCACTATCCCCCCTATCTTGGTACCTTATGAAGGAACTAGAAATGTTCAAGGATGACTATCTAACCATGCTGCAGTAAACATGTCCAAATTCTGACAACTATACTTAGGACTTTCAGCCCTCCAAGTAAACATAAACCACACCATTTTGCAACAAAATACTCATAATAGCCTTTTCAATTAGCTTTTAGCTGTGTACCAGATTTTGCTAAAACCAGTCTCTCTGTATACTAGAAACTACGTTTAAACAAAATTGTAGCAAAAAAATATTTATCTTGGGGATTTGTATGTTTGCATTTAGACATATGTAAGTAAAGACAGTGCTAAGCAGTACTGGCGTCCTACTATATAAACACACTCACGGAATCTTACAAGCTTTAATCTATTTCTTACATAAACCAAAAATAGTCACATCCATTGAAAAAGCTCTGTGAAACACCACGGCAAGTTTACAAGGTGTTATGTCAACATCCTTTTCCTTGGAAGTAGTCTCTTTCATTAATTTAATGCCTTAATTTCTGTAACAACGCTATTTCCAGAAATGATGTCGACTCATCTAATGAATGATGAGCTAGCAGGAGACAACAGGACCAAGTGCAGAGAAAAAGCAGTAGCCTCCAGTATGAAAACAACGCTTTACAGAATGAAGACTTCGATTCCACATAAAGGTGTGGTTTGCGTCCTACAACTTACCTAATTACACTGGCTTCACAGGAATTGAATTTAACACAATTAAAAGAGAAAAGGTCTCTTTTTAATTCAAAGAAGTGAAATAAAGCAATTTATAAAAGTCCCACAATAACTGCGTATCATTTAGATCACAGTTTGAAGATCCAAATGATACTTAGGCTAGGCATTGTACTCTTTGAAGTAATCCTTTATCAGGTTTTAACAGCTAGTTCTAAAAATAAAACATGTTAATAAAACACCATCATAATTCCCATCTTTGTCATATCGCAGTGTATTTCACACCAAAACAATTTAACTAGTAAATAAATGTTTCTAGCCATCAAATCACTTGCAAGTCAAAACCTGTAACAGCTATACAGACAGAATATATCATGCCAAATTACCATCCACTACTATTAGTTAGGACAAAAATACATATGAAATCTTTGAGAGGGACATCCAAACACTTCCTCTTCAGTAGAATTACAGAGTTAATTGCTGATGGCTCTCCACAGTTCTGTTTAAAAAAAACCCAGTTTATCTCACTAAATTAGACCAAGCCTTGAGCCACATCACCATTTGCTGAGACTCTGTCCAAAATAGTTTAGTTACTGGCAATGCATTTAATCTTCTGCTATTTGGACAGACATTCATCTAGGAGTCTGGCAAGAAAAGAGGTATTTCAGAATGAATGCCAGAAGGTAATTTATAGAACATCCAAATCTCTGACCCTAACAAACAGGTTGTGTTATACTGCCTTCCAGTGCAGACTGTCTGCCTAAACCCAAATGAAAAAGGTTGAAGAATCCATTTTAGACATGGAACTAGCAATAATTCCCAAAGGAATTACAACTATCTTAGAGCCTGTTCTCAAAAGTATTTGTTTAGAAAAATTCTAGGCAGAAAATAATATTGGGATTTCATTTCGCTTTAAATAAAGAAAGAAATTGCAAAAGCAAAAACAAAAAACAGGCAAATTTATATGGCAGACCGCTTTTTTACTGAGTACACATACAACATCCATAAGAGAGTCTTAGGACAAATCAGGATTTCTAAATTATGGATAAAAAAATCATTAACAAACCCAAAGAATTTTACAGCAGATAAAATTTCTCCAGAAAAAGGAAAAATCATTTTTAGATTTCAGATGTAAGGTGACCTAAGATAAAGCTTTCCAAACTCAAAAATAAACGGAGATATCTGTTAATCCCTGTGGGCCTCATATCATGTTCTGAAACACCAGTACTTAGATAATTCAATCCTCCAATGCTGACCATTCAAAATCCTAGTAGAAGTAATTTCATAACTGTGTAAGTCAACATCCCAACATGTTCCTATTTAGGACCCTATTTTTTAATCCATAACAAACACATCAACAGTGATGTTCAGCAGAATTAATAATAGTCTAAACCAGATATTTAGCAACGAGGCTTAAGTAACATTTAATCACCATTTCCAGTTCTTTCACAGATCGTGAACATACAACAGTGCAGAAAAGATTACAAAAAAAAACAAACCCAGAAACATTTAACAAAACCTACAGTTGAATTTTACTGAGAGAAAAAGGCAGGTGTACTTTATAACATTTTTAAGATTATTATTACTGGCTCTTAAAAAACTAGTAGGGTTGTTAAGCCGAGGTACAGCTTAACTAAGTCTAACTTGTGGCAGTTTGCTTATGGGAAAGGTCAGTCTCTTGAAGCAAAAAGCAAGTGAATCAGTCAAAAATGAATGAAACAAATGAACGTGATTCGCTCATTTAGACAGCATGGAAGAATCATGAAAATGCACAACCTAGGATCTAACCCTCAAAACATGCTGTATACAAAACCACTGTCACAAGCCAAGCTTCTAATAGCCGTTAGCAGAATGTAATTTATCTTTAAACGTGAAGGAAACTGTGCCCTTTTGATTAGGGGAAATAATCAAATGAAAACAAATCTTTACAAATGAAAGGGAAGAAGGGAAAGCACTTACAGCAGTTGGATCCTTCAAATGGAGCTGAGCTGCCGTCATTTGTCCGAAACCACCAGGATAGCTAGAAAAACAGAATAAACATACAAGCTTAAAGCTATATGCTCAAGCATGATATTAACACAAATATCACTCATCTTGAACAACAGTGTAATGGTATTATAAGCCTTCAAAGAAGGAAGTTGTTCTTATGAGGCCAACAACTATATTTTATTAGAAAGATTCTATCTTGTCAAGTATCTAAGTTTAACACCATTTCTACTTTCTTATTTATTCACTTGAGTATCAAAAAGGTTGTTTCACAAGCAGATGGATATGTTTGTTAAACTGCTTATTAAATACACCATCACAGGTACAGGACACAATGGAAGCAAGATATGAAAAACTTGGAAATATTTCAAAATGATCAAGACTTACAACCAGTCTGTGGCTGACATAAGAAGCAATCATTTTGAACAGTATTTTTTATTTTCTTACTATTTTACGTATTTCTACTTCTACTGCAATCCATAACTTCTAAAAGTTTATGTGATACGATGAAGTTGAACTAATTCACATTTACACATATACTTCAAATGAATCATACAGTAGGGAAAGAAATTACACGGATGTCAGATAAAGCTGGGTTTCATTCTGATTTAGTCATATTATTAGGTATCAACCTAAGTGAAATGAAAATAAACCCAACATCATTAAAACATGTCCACTTAGGGAGCTGCATCGTAAGAGCAGTATTTGTTTTAACTGTACAATTCTTTTCACTTATTCAAGAACAACTTAGGTACTTACACAAGTGCTTTAACTTACACAGAAGATTTCAGTGAAAATTTTTAAGAAGTTATAGGGGTGTGGGAGGAAAAAAAAAAGGCGCATTAATTTCCATCAACTCTGAACAAGAACTTCTGAGCAATTCAGCAAAGGAATTTCAGGATTAAAACATTAACACTGGCAAAATCAGCTTTCTCAATACGATTTGTTCATCTCCCGACTGGATACACTTTGACGCTTAAGACAATAGTATCTGTTGTCATTGTATAAAATAGAAGCAACTGTTCTTATTTGACTGAATTGATCATGCCATACCATCTGTAACTGATTACTTCACTTCCATCTGTAAACAAGTTACATCTGCCAGAATAATATACTGCATACTGCTGTATACATCAGTACATCTTGAGAGCATTTAGTTTCATACTAGTTTTTCCAATTTCTTTTTTTTTTTTCTTCATCTTCTGATTCAGTAATATATCAATTTTGATATTTACTGTTATTAAACAGGTATTGGTAGGATAAAGTAATTGAGTTGGCAACTGTATGTACCTTAAATGTGCAGTGCCAATAGGAATGTCTTCTACTGCTTAGTACACAGAGTAATTCTGATCATTGGGTTCATCAGTTCACACAAAACCTGTCTCACCAAGTCTGTTAACTTACTCAATTGTTCTGATTACTTCTGAGGTAGATTATTTCCCTAAAAACATATACAGGGAAAAAAAAAATAAAAAAAATGTATCATTTTAAACATCGCAACACATGCAAACAAAACCCAAAACATCTAAGCAGGAATTCCCTTTTGAACCAATATGCTAAAAAAGTCTTCAACTATTAAGAAACTATGACATTAAATTTACCATTAGTTTATCTGAATATTTATTATAAAGCTTACCCAGTGTGTGAAGAATATACTTTCTGTTCCCATTTATTACCAGAGAAGGCAATATGTCTTGTATTTATTATGACAACATGATCTCCACAATCACCTACAAGGTAGAAATTAGTGGAAAATATTAAGAGAACCATAGGGGTAATCAACAAAAATAACAAACATAAAGTGTGTGATACATATGTAGTAGCACATAAATACACACTTCATTAAGCTCAGTTACAGATCTGAGCTTTTTGAGCCACACCATCCAAATCTGTACTTAAATACCAACCTTTGTTACTATTTTTGTTAGCACTGTCAGTGTAGAATGCAGGTGAGCAGGTAAAACACCATCAGACTAGACAATTAAACCATTGCAAATATTCAGCTAAGATCTGAAAATCTGGCTTACAGATTTGTATTCAACATACTATGCTGCATAAAAAACTCAGAATAAAAAAAGGCTAGTTCTATGCAATGATCCTATATATTTGTTTAATTTTCTCATAAAAACAGTACCAATGTTTACTGGAAGACTGAATAGTCTGGATAAGTAAAATAACTCTATTAAATAATTACAGCCTAGGGCTAAATATATAAAAGAAACAAAAAGACTGGGGGAGGGGAGCAGGGGAAGAAAAAGCACTCCCAAAAAAATAAAACAGCTCTGTTGGGAAAAAAAACCCACATTTTCATCAATCAAACAGAACTGAATGTTACAGCACATACAGATATGTTTAGTGCTATATCATCAACTTTCACATCAAAATTATTTAAACCCAAAGGCCATAATCTATCATCAATCCATTGCCAGAAACAGTTACTTTAACAGATCTTCGTTACTAATAAAGTGCTAATAAAATCTATAGTATCTCAATAATATGATGGAAATATGTAGTTCTTCATTTCAGAAGTATCATCTTGATCAGCTTTATAAGCTATAACAACCCATTCAGCTGAAAAATAATTTGTTCAAAGTTCACTCTCATATGCATTACCATGTTAGAACAACGTAAGTATTCAAAGAGGCTCATTTGATTAAAACATTTTTAACTAGGTAACAGATCACAGAGTCATAGAATGGTTTGGGTTGGAAGGGACTTTAAAGATTATTTAGTTCCAATCCCCCTGCCGTGCTAACAAGTCCCTCCCCATCTTTCCTGTAGCCCCCTTGGAAGCACTAGAAGGCCACTATAAGGTCTCTCTGGAGCCTTCTCTTCTCCAGGCAGAACAACCCCAACTCTCTCAACCTGTCCTCACAGCAGAAGTGCTCCAGCCCCCCGATCATCTTCATGGCCTCTTCTGGACCCCCTCTGAGCAGGTCCATGTCCCTTTTGTGTGGGGGGCCTCAGAGCTGGACACAGCACTGCAGGTGGGGTCTGATGAGGGCAGAGTAGAGGGGGAGAATCGCCTCCCTGGACCTGCTGGCCACACTTCTCTTGATGCAGCCCAGGACACAGTTGGCTTTCTGGGCTGTGACAGCACCTTGCTGGCTCACAGTCAGTTTTCCATCTACTAATACCCCCAAGTCCTTCTCCTCAGGGCTGCTCTCAATCCACTCCTTGCCGAGCCTGTATTTGTGCATGGGATTGACCTGATCCATGTGCAGGACCTTGCACCTGGCCTTGTTGAACTTCATGAGACCCACCTCTCCAGCCTGTCCAGGTCCCTCTGGATGGCTCACCTACACCTGCTCACAATCCAACATAAAGGACCAGATTGCCCAATTTTTTAAAAATTCGGACCACTATTTTTGGTGCTGTATTTTGAAGCTGCTCACAAAGACAGGATGCAAGGGGATGGGGGTAGAGAAAAGGGGATGTGCAGAAGAAACCTAAAAATTCAGATTCAAACTTCCTGAACAAGGTTGCATCTCCTGTTTTTAAGGCGTATTGTCTGACATCATCTAAAAATATGAGACTCTGGAGAATAGTGAAAGATTATCCCTAAAACAGAAAATAACATACATTAAATCAAATTTCTTTTCTTCATTAACCCCAGCTTAAATTCAGCTCCAGATATTATTTATTTACTGTGTTGAAAAGTGTTTTCATGGAAGGATATCTGGATACTAAATTAAAAATAAAACAAAACAAAACATTCCCACTATGTTATTCTGTCTAAAGAACTGTTATCTCACAGACACTAAAATATTTCTTGTTAGCTCAGAAAAAAAGAAATAAAAGAAGTGTCTAGTACATCAGCCACAAATTCATGCATACTTTGCTCTCTTAGAGTACCAAATATCTCAGTATTAACCTATCAATGTCAATCTCAGGTGTAATGCATTTGGTACTGATTTATAGAATACTTTAGACCAAATAAAGTTACCCTTGAAACGACTTTCCAGGATTTTATAATTTCATTGACATAAAAGCACCAAAGATCTTTCCCACAGGATAACCAAAGGCATTTCCTCTCAGTGCCTGTTTTTTTTTTCAGCCAGCCTTAGTCTCCAGTGACATCTTGTGGAAAAGGCACAATTTGCAAGAGCAGAACTCTTATTTAAAACATCTTTAGAACACTACTGACACTACCTTCTATTATGGAAAACAGATAAAGTATAATTTTAGTATGTACATTCTACATGTATGAGCAAAGTTAAACGTTTCCTTTATGTTTCTGTAATGTCTATTGAAAAATTTGCATGAGTATTACAGAAAACACTGCACCATCAATATAAGAGATTACCTTTTTATTATCTATAAAATGCTTATCACAGGCAAGACAGGCACTACGGTATTACAAATAATGAACAAGATCACAGACGCATCTTTACCGCTGAATCTTCTAATTTGCGGGAAAGCAAAATGATTTTTTCATTTAAACAAGAAGATATCTTTCAACAATGATTATATCTCCCACCTAAGTATCAGACAAGTTTCAGCCTCATCATCACAGCATGTCTGAGCTTGGAAAGGACCTCTGGAGGTCATGTTGTCCAACCCCCCCTGCTCAAGCAGGACCAGCTTTTGAATATCTCCAAGGCTGGAAATTCCACAATCTCTTAGGTAACCACTTCCAGTCACCCTCACCGTAAGTTTCCTCATGTTCAGAGGGAACCTCCTGTGTTTCAGTTTGTGCCAGTTGCCTCATGAAGACAGAACTTCTCTGCACCTTATTCAGAATGAAGGACCACTCCAAGACTGTGGCACTGTGCAGCTACCGAAAGGTAGCATTCAGACAATCCAATCAAGAATCACATCAGTGTTTTATTACTGTAATGTGAATTAAATCTTTACATCTAAACCCAATGCAACGAAAGACATTTCAAGTTTGTTTTTTTTTTTTTTTTAAATGAAAGCACAACCCACTGTAATTCCACTACTTAAAATAAATTATTACTTCATAACAAGCTTTGTATGGATTGGTAAAGACAATGACATATGATTGTAGTGGGGTATGAAGGAAAAAGATGAGAAGGAAAACAGACATTTATAGATAACTGAAATATGTAATGTATCAGGCTTGATTTTAAAACTGAAATCAGAATACAAGTCAAGGAAAGCAAACATGCTTTTATCTACTACAATACTCACTTAGTGCATGATAAATAGGTTTATTCCTGCCTTCAAGTCTGATTACAGTCGCAGCTGCTATCTTTCCTGGTGGCTGCATCTTTGCATCAAGAAGATACCAGGCTCTGGCAAAAGTAGCCCATTGCTAAAGTGAATGAGAATATAGTAAAAGAAAACACTACTATACGTAAATCTAGTTTCTCCAATCAGATCAATGCTTTTTTTTACACTCCAAAATACTAGAAAAAATATTAATATTCAACAACACCCCCTCCAAATAACCTTTAAATGGATGGAGAATGCCACTACACCCTGTGATACACCCACTGCTGTAGGTATTTCCAACATATGTGGCGGTAACAACACCGAAAGTTACCAGCTCTGAGGGTTTTGTTTCAAAAACGAAGATCTCTTTCTGCAAGCTTCCATTATTGCTAACTAAACCGCAAAATCGCTGTCGGCGATTTATAACGCCCAACACCTCTCGCCCTCCCAGCGAAGGACACAACTCCCGCAAGCGGACTTCGAAGAGCGCCAACAGCCTGAGCCGCCGTCCGGGGGCAGCCCCGTCCCTCGGTCAGCCCCGACGGCTCCCGGCTCCCGCCAGCGGGCCCCTCGGGGCGGACGCCGGAGCCGAGGAGAAGCCGCCCGCCGCCCCGCTGCTCCCCTGGGGGCCTACCGCCCCTTCGGCCCGCTGCCCCGCTGCTCCCCCGGGGGCCTACCGCCCCTTCGGCCCGCCGCCCCGCTGCTCCCCCGGGGGCCTACCGCCCCTTCGGCCCGCTGCCCCGCTGCTCCCTCACGGCCGCCCTCTGCGCCATGGCGGCGTGCCCTCGGAGGCGGCGGCCGCCCCGGCACAGCCTGGCCCGAGGGGGAGCGGGCCGCGCTCACCTGCGCCGCTTTGGTGTAACTGGCCATGGCCGCGCTGCCGCCGCGGCGGAGGGGAAGGGGGGGGGAGGGAAGCGGAGCCTCGGGGCCGCCGCAGCGGCGGGAAGCGGAAGCGCTGCCCTGCGAGGGGCGGTGCAAGGGCGGCAGCGCGGGCTGTTCGGAGCGGCCGCGTCCCCGTCCCCGTCCCCCGTCCGGCCATGGACCGCTACGTCTTGCTCCTGAGCTGGGGGGAGCGCAGGGGCGAGGGTGCTGCGGCGGGCGGCCCCGGGCCCGGAGCAGGTACCGGCGCGGCGGGAGGGCCGCGGCGGGCTGGAGGCCGCGCCGTGTGGGAGCCGCCCGCCTCCGGGCCCACGGCAGCGCCCTTAGCCGGGGCTGCTCCTCGCCGTCTGGGATTTGCGCCCGCGCAGGCTTCTCTGGGTCCCTGCCTCGTTAAATCCCCCCGCCTTTTTCAGACTAAAAGTCTTTAATGACTTAAACCTTCAGAAACGTACGGGTCTTTGTGTTCTCTTGCGACACTGCTGTATAACTCGGTAGAGCCTTCCTGAGATGTGCACTACCTAAACGAGTGTCTTACAAAATTTGTCTTTTTAAACTCCTGCAAATCTGCAGTTCAGTTTTTTTACAAACTAAACTTTCCATATTAAAGGGAACTTTATACGTATTTGCAAGAAAACAAGATTTAACTTATTTAATTCAGTAGTTTTAAGATTTATTTTATTTTATTTTTTTTAGCTGGGACTGCTACAGCTGTTTATCAGTTCCTGAAAGAAAGCTGCAACTCATCTATAAGTGCAGATGTGAGCCTGTTCCCAGGTAAATATTGTAATGTACATTTTATGATCTAGGTGAAACAAGTCAAATTTAAGGAAAGTTAGTTTTTGCAGTGTACCTAACCCTGCTGGTGGGACTGCTGCTGCTGTTTCTGTGGAGAACTGATGTCATTTCAGCAGCTGGGGTGTTAGATGGTTAAATAGATTAGACACAAGGAAGGAAAGAGAAGGGTTTTGAAAGGTTGACAGATTTCAATCCAGCATAGCAATGAAGAGTAGGACAGGGCTCGTTTCTCTTGTCAGTAAGCAGCTTGATATTTTCATTATTCCTATGTTGTCTTCTAATTTTATCAGTGGAAGCAATGTTTGCCTGTTGGGTATCAATTCAGAACCCTAATCCATTAATATTTATTACATAATTTTATCATCTTAAAATATATTTCTAAAGATCTCCTTTAGTACTTTTAGGGATTGGATAGGGGTTTTTTGTTAAAAAATGCTTTCTTAGTTCTTGGTTTGGATATTTAGTGTTGAACTCTTAAGGCTCATTGTCACAGCTGTCATAATTGTGATTCATGTGGGGAAACCACTATAAGCTGTTAGAATTCGTGAAGTTGGGAATGTTAAGCTGTTTTCAACATCTGTGCTTTTTATTGCATAGAAATATTGAGAGAGCATCTCATTTTGTGAACTGCGTAAACCATATTTATGAAAGTTGTGATTTAAATCAGGTATGATACAACTTCTGCAAATGGAGAACAGTATTGCCCAGAATATAGAAAAGGTGAAAGATTTTCTTACTTATTAACAGTCAGAGGATCAGTGATAGTGAGATACTTGCCAACTGTCCGCGCTTCAATATGTTTAGAACTTAATTGTGATGCCAAAAGAAAGTAGAACTAAAGTCATTGTGGCATATTAAATGACTCTCGTAGAGTCTTTCAACGGATAATAGGAAGAATAGATTGTGGTGGACTGATAATTTTAAATAATTGTTTTATCTCTTTGCAGCATGTTCAGTGGCTGGTATTCCAGGTGTAAAGAAATGGTATTTTGCGAGTCATGTTATATGTGGTTACTATCAGGTAAAACTTTTTTTTTTTTTTTTCCCAGAATATAAATTCCTCAACTGTCTGCCTGTCTCTAGTGCAAGTTAAAACTGTGATGTTCAAAATTATTTTTGCTTAACTAATTATTTTTGCTTGATTAGTTCTGCAGTTCTGACTGGGAGGAAATAAATTTTGACACACAGAAAAATGAAGACTTTCTCCAAACAAGTATTGACGAATGCCTGGGAGCCTTACAAAATTTTGAGGAAGATGACAGTAACAGTAGAGAGTCACTGTCAATGACTGAGTATGCATATTATTATTTTTATTGAAGGTATAGTGATCTGGCATTTTACAGTAATAACCCAGGGGGTTCTAGAAAATTTAACAAGTCAAAGTTATTACCAAAGCAACAGTTAACTACGAACAATCCCCTACAACTACTGAAAATAATTCTATTATTTAAAAAGCACTTAACAAAGTACTTTAACTTTTTTAGCTACAAATGATTTTTATAGAATAACTGAACAGTTTCCTAACAGCTGTTGGTTATAGATACAAAAAGAAGTTTCTTGCTAATCTGTCTTGAAACCTACTTCCAGTTTTACTACAGATTGTTTTGAAGTTGTTCAAACTACTTCTGCCCCAATAAAAGGGGAGATAGGTATATCTCATTGCCTAGATATGTTTGTGCAGAATTCTAAAGGTAGAAGATGCTTACATCTAGCAGTATTCATTAGTTGTAATTTTTTGTTTTAAATGACTTTGTTTATATTTTGTTTCCAACCATGATGCTCTTCAGTATCTATGATGAAGCTGCAGAAAGTCTGCATCACTTAGCTGATAAACTGCCTGCCCCAGGTAATCTCTCTTAAAAAAACAATCTCATTGGAATTTATCTTGTTAGTTTTTACGCTAAAAACTCAGTTGGTAAAATCATAGTCAAATGGAAAAATTCAGAGGATGTTAGTTTGTTAGTTGAATTAACTTGTATGCAGGTCTTGCAAGTAGTTTAAGGAACCTGAGCATGATTGGCATTGCAAATCAGCTTACAGAGTAGTTTGCTGCTTGTTTCTTTGGAAGGCTGTATTTCAGTAGAGTTTGAGGTAGCTATTTATATAATTATTTTTTCCATCTGGAATGGCACCAAGGTAGTAGTGGATGGTAAGCAATACAAAACTCAACATGCAACCACAGGAGAATTTTGTGAAAAAAATGGATGGTGTTGACATTAGGCTTACATCTGATTTGCCAGCTGATTGTTTGTGGGTGGGAGCCAAGAAGTTGTGAAGGAACATAGATCAGAACTATTGGATTCAGATTTTGTGAATTGGAGACATGTATCATATTGCATGTTAGGGTTATATAATGTTGCAGTAGATGATTTGGGATAGCAGAGGAACTGAATGCAGAAAGAATGAGAAATAGCAGTTTAGAGGTGTTAGAAGGAGGAAAATGACAGTGTAGTTATACTGGAGGCAACTATCATCTGTCAAATACAGTGCTGAGGGAGAAGAGAAAGATATAGAACGGCTGTAACTGAGCAAGTAGCAAGATACTTTATTTGGTGTTAATCTAAGAGGAGCAGCGAGAGATGAGCTAAAATGCGTGAATAGTGTTCTAAATCTTGCTGAAGTTACTTGAAGTGGATCTTTAAGCCCATTTTAGTGCAATCAGTGATAGTACTTTTTCATCTTTAAATGACTGAATCGTTTACTGAATAATGGTACTTTGAGTCATATATAACTGTTTTCATAGGCAGAGCAATGGTTGATGTAATACTGCAGGCTGTTGATCGAGATGGACCCAAGTTAAAAGACTGCCTACCTGCTGTCGGGGCCCTGAAACACCTGAGGGAATGGCACTCTGCCCAAATCACTATTGCAGCAAATGACCCTAAAGGGTATGCCATTTATTTTAGGTCTATAACAAAGTCGCTTTTGTTTTGTGTTAGTGTATGTCAGTGGTTTAAAATAAAAACAGTGCCTTGAGTAGTTTACGTATATGCTTTGAATATGCGTGGATTTATCTTCTATTATTGTTTGAGGGGAGGAATTACTTATGCTTTATTGTAAATACATGCCGTATCCAGAGGGACAGGCAAAAAAGCAAGTTCTCTGAAATTCCTGTTTCTACGAGAAGAGAAGGTGTAATATTTTCTCTTTCCATCACTGGTGTCTGAAGTGTGCATATGATGTTTTGAAGTTGTACTATGTTAGAAGCTATTAAACTTGTATTGATTGTAGTTTTCCACTTTTTGTAAGATGAATACATGACTTTGCTGGGTTTACTTTAAATTTTATATTATCTTTGGTATTACATTTCAGGGAAGAAAAAACTAGTGTCTGATTTGTCCCTTTTGAAAATGAAGTATAAATGCACAGTTACTTCCTGAATGCTTCTAGAGAGCCTTAACACCAAAACTGTTAATTCAGTTTGAAATTAAGTTCAGTAATTTCCTTACTGTCCTCCTATAATTGACAGAAGTAGGCCATGATATGTCTCAATATAAACCACAGTGGTTTGTTTTGTTTTGTTTTGTTTTTCCCATGCTGTAAATTATTGTGTGGGTTATTGAAAAACTTGGCATGGTCTCCTCCACTTCCCTTCCCCTCCACACCCAAAAGGTTCAAGTTTGCTACATAAAATACGCAGTTAAACTTAATCCTAAACTAATAAAACAGTGTGAAATTAAAAAGTTGAATTCTCAGTCCTTGGATAAAATAAGCAATGTACCTACTATATAGTACTTCCTAAGGTATACGGAGGAAGATAAACTTATTGCAGTGAGAGCGCTTGATCTCAGTGCTCATTGATCTCTTCTTGTGTAGCCAGCTTTTGACTGAATAACTTTTTCTGCTGCTTCTTATGTAAAATGAGGCCATTTGGGTATACAGTTTATCTGATGAAAATTCTGTCATGCTTCCTGTTCTCTTGGTGCTAATTTCTCTTAGTAGACTGCCAGTAGGACCCACAGATACTGACTCTTCTTTCTCTCTGTTGTTGAATTTGGGTAATACTTTTGCTGCAGTCATATCTCTTACTTATGAGGCTAACTACAAACCCTCTAAATGGGCTCAGCATAGCCCCAGTGGTAGCTACCTGGCTTTGCTCTAGCTTCTAGCACCCGACCTTACTATGGTAAACCTGCAGCTTGCCATTGCCAGTCTTATTTGATGTCTGACAAAGTTCTTTGCTGTCACATTAATGGAGCGTATGAACAACTGCCTTTACAGAGCCTGAACCAGCAATTCTGTACTATTTTTCACTTTGTGGAATATAAAGCTGTATATGTCTGTCTTAACA